TATGGTCAAATTGATAAGGCTTGGGGAAGCCTTCATCCAGGAGTGGATTAATACATAATGAGCCGTAAAATTAGTCAATTTATAACAACTATTTTTTGAAGAATGTATAAATATTTCTATTAAAAAAATATTTTTTTAGTCAGATTCCCACCGCAGGATTGTGAGAACATTCGTCAAGGTGACAATCTGCCTCTTTAGCCTCAATGAGTTCTTCAGTCGGGAGAGGAGACAGAGACAGCAGGAGCTGTTGCCATGTGTCCAAGGGGCTCGTTGAGAGGCCCGGTGGTTTGAAAAGCACTCTTCTGAAGCGATGCGTCTACACTCCCCGTGAGTGGCCTCAACAAGAGCTCATAATTCCATGCAAGTCTGCCAATCTGTGTTTGACAAACAAAAACAGCTTGCTTCGTGTGACGTCAAAAACGTCTATCAATCGATGGAATGCCATTTAGGAGGTAAGAGCCCATTGAGACTGGGGGGGGGCGGGCGAATAAAAATTTAAGTGCAGTTACAGGGTGCGTGAGCACTGGAATTCTTAACCATGGCACCCATTGTAATACTTTCCCGCTAAGAATAAGCTAGCCGTAGTAGTCCTTGCCATATCGGTCACGTGAAAGTTGATTTGTTTTGTTCTCTCAATGTTTATCCCAATTGTACGATCGGTGTCACGCCAAAATATGAGGAGTCCATTTTGAACTCCATCAGAGCAGTGCAACCCTTAGTGAAGCGGATATCACAGAACTACTCCGGAGATCACTTGAAGTGAACTCTCGTCCACACAGTAGGCACGGCACTGCCCACATGCCCTGCCACAGACAAAGTGTTTCCAATAATCTACATTTTCATTTTCAGATCTACACTTTGGCCAAAATTAAGTTCGGAATCATGTTTTATTATTGCGAGGCTTGGTTTTTTTTGTCTGCAGTAATCTGTGGCTTGTCTAGGACTCACCACACTTAAGAACCCGGTATAACCACGGGGCAGGCAAAACCTGCCTTCAAACCCACAATCTCAGCGGAGCCGGTTCAGTGCTCTGAACCCCGTGCCACCCGGCGACCTCCGTGTGAAAATTATTTGCAGATGAGCATTTATTTTAGACGCGACCTTTGTGTGCTTTGGATACAGGCACGCTGAAGGGCCTTGCGAGCGCTATGACCCATGGGCCCGATGGGTTGGTCGGTACCAATGCTACCAACTGTGTCCACGATGGGCAGTTGTCCGCCGTGCAGTGAAGGATGGCAGCATCCAGGCGGCCCACTCTGTTGAGTGAGAAAGCACGACGAAAGCCATCAGCAATCCAGCGACGGCACAATGATCAACAATCTCTCGGGCTCCAGAGCTGCTAAAGTGTCCACCATGAGCAGAGAGCTTCGTGTGTACACCTTCTGTTTAATAGACACACTATTTGTTTTCATACTCCATGGATGTTTTATATCAAACCGACTATTGACGGCCTTCTTGAACAACATGATTCTCATCGTCGCAGGAACCTGCGGAACTTCTGCGGTAAAAGGATGGCGAACATGTAACGTTTCATCATGACTCCCTCTCCTGTGCCCTCGCTGTGCCCATTGCAGCCCAGTAAGTTGCCCTTGCTTCATTCCCTTTGTTTTGTTGGCACACTGCTCGCCCTGCACAATATGCAGCCCTGTATCAATACACGCTGCTGCTGTGTCGCTCCTGGACGTTGTTTGACCATACTTCACCATGTTGCTGAGTGTGGCTTAGTGAACGTGGTGGGTAGAGGTGGCTCTAGAAAGTATAACGCTTCCTAAAGGGTGCTCCCATCAACCCCTTCCCTGGGTGCTCCACTGTCAGTAGGTGCTTGGGACCGGTTGAGATACCACTTGACACTGATATTGGCCATAGCACCGTTACCCCCAGAGAGATATCTATATATAGAGAGACGTATATAGATGTGTATTTATATTTAATTGACAGTATCCTTGAGCACCCTTTTATTCGAATGGTCCGCCGCGAAAGTTCACGCCTTCGCCGCGAGGTTCGCGCGCGGTGCCACCGTCTCCAGCGCCAGGACAGCTGTGCCCCTGCAACCCGGGGCCTACGGTCCGCTGAGGGGCCCAAACGCTGGGCAATGAAGCGAGACGGAGGGGACATTTAATTCCTTGCCCCAGGGCCTATGCCACCCAATGCCACCCGCGCGATGCCGCCGCGTGCCAGCCGGTGTTCCATCCGCGGTGCTGCGTGGCGCGGTTTGCCGGTTCACAGCGTCCCTCGTTCTCGGAAAGACTGAAAAGGCCCCCTGTGTGATGGCCCCTGACTGTGCCCCCGGTGTTTCGCGAGCCGGCGCGGCCGCATTGCAGTGAGAACCTCCGCTTACAGTGGCTCTACTGTCCAGCGGGCTCTGGGGCCGGCACGCAGGGGAGGGACAGCGAGAGGGGAGGGAGGGGAGGGCAGGATGGGGGAGACTGTTGGAATGCATTCCCAGAGCATGTGTGTGTGACTGGCTGTGGGTAGGGAGCAGCAGCAGCAGGAGGAGGGGCACAGTACAAGGCTGACATTGCATTCGCTGCTTTTTCACGCCTCTATTTTTGGCGGAGCCTCCTCTCATTGGGACCCCGCGTGGCTGTGTGGGCCCCCCGCTCATGGGCGATTAAGAAAAAGAGATCCTTTTGCCACTTTGGTGTCCACATAATAGAGCATAAATCAAACAAGCAAAGCGTCGTTTTATTGCGCACATTTGTCGTTCGCCACAAGAAGGGCTGCAATGCGTGCGAATACGCGACGGTAAATAATTCATAAATAACGCGACGGCGCACATCTTAGAGAGCCGCATCCCACAGGTTGGCGACCCCTGGTCCAGGACGTGAAGAATGTCATCTTCTACAGTGTTTTGTACTCGATGTCAAATCTATTTGGTTTATTTCTTGGGCAAGCAAGTTGGCAGTGCTTATTAGGAAGCTGAGCTGGAAGAAATGTGTTTTTAATCCGTGAAAATATTCCCTTCTATGAAAATGTAAATTCCCTTCCACGAAATATTGACATTGACCGGGAAAAAAAATGTAGCGAGAATTGAAAATCTCGCCAAGAAGTACGGATCGATAGATGCTTGGAATGATGAGAGACGGAAAGGGAAAGGTACGGAGTGCCCAATAGAAGTCGCATAAAGACTTCGTATTGACTATTCAGAAAAGTGAGTGAGTGGGCTTGGCTAGGCCACGCTGCTAGCAAGGACGATATCAGTCTCTTTGCCAACGGTTACAATATAAAGTATACAAAATACGTTTTTGTTGCTTGAGCTTATCCGGCTTCGTGAACCGGTTTGAAAAGTGGATTGTTAAAGCGAGAGTTGTGTTTACTTTAGCCGGTCTCAACACGGAGGAGTGTGCCTCCCTAAGAACACGCGGCCGTGTTGCCTCAAGTGTCACGGAAGAGCCCTCGGCAAACACAATGAGGCCCGAACGCCTTCTTCGCTCTCTGTGTGTGTGCCCGCCGTGAGGCACATCCCAGCGGTGTGTTTGTTACGCAGACTTGGCAGTGGCATAAACACCAAACACGCCTTTGTCTCTGATTTCAAGGCATGCATTCACTTGCATTCTCTCTGTCGAGAAAGAAAGTGCTCACAATCACACACTGACCACACATGATGATGCCACGTGTACAGATCGAACCCAAAACAACATTCCCTCCAGGTGCGCGTCGCTGCAGCTAAGTTCTGTGACATCGTTTTAATTGCAGTGCAACGTTCCCTGTTCAAAGGAGTGATTAGATCCTCTAAGAGAACCTTAACCGCAATACACCAATGTTGGCATTTGTTAATATTGATAATGTATCGATTCCTAGGAAACACAACTTTAAATGCAACCACCTAAATCAATACACAAACTAAAGTAGATGAACGCGTCCATGAGGGGTTTTTGCAAATGGATGATGGCGAGATTAACGCTTAAACCCTTTTATGGCCGCGAGGATGAAAGGCGCTGATTATTGCAGGATATCAAGTTCTCTTTTCGTGTTTTCAGAGGCTATAAATCAAAGGGCACCTCAGATAGCGAAGCCGACTTCCCATGTTCGAGTGATAAACAGTTTACGAGGCCTCATAATGATAACTGCTCTCGGGGCGACTTTTTCCTTCGTCTTCAGAAGTGTCTCTTGGTATGAATGAGTGTACAGTCCCTAAATGCTCCTAAAGATGTTTGGGGTAAGGTTTAGTTATTTTAAAATTAAAGTTATTATTTTAATTTCACCAGGTAAGGCCCACTTAGCAATGAAACTCTTTTTCATAAGCGATCTGGCCACAATTGATAGATCAACGAAGTGGCTTATCATCACGTGGGGATGCACATCAGCCAAAAACTCAATACGCATGTTGAAAAATCCACGGGGAGAAAGAGAGACAAGCAAACTACAAATATACAGCAGGCGTCAGCGTCAAGATCGAACCCACGACCTCCTGTATACCGGGCGAGGGAGTTAACATATCCTAGCCACCGCGGCGAGATGAAGCGAGCATGCTCTCAAGCAGAGACTGATCATTAATGGCACAGCGTTCCGGACTGATGCGGCTGAAATGAAGCACCGAGTCTTTTGCCAGCCAGCTCTGGCGAACTTTGCTCTGATCGTTAAATGATGGCAGAAACATGAAATACTTTCACAGCAGTAAAGCTGAGTTCACCACAACAGTGAGACGGCAGTTTGCGTGTGTTGAGGTAAAGTGCAGGAATGTCCACCTCTTCCAACACGTCTGGTGAATCTGGAAGAGTAGGCCAAATACCATGTCGTGTTGTCTCGAGCCGAGGTCCTTCCCCCAGTAGTGGCGCAAGAAAGCAAATGCAGGGCTGCGCCTTTACCTCTACTTGTTCAGGATATTTGGGGAATGTTTTGTCGGGTACGTACACATACAAGCCACGCACTGCTTGGAATGTTTCTTTTAGTTCATTTAACGATGCCTAATTTATTTAAGAAAAAAAACAAAGTCTTCAAAACGCGTTTTTTGTCAACGGTGAGACTTTCGAAACGCACGCAAACTTTTGCGACGAGACTCTCATTCTGTGTGAGGCGGCGCGCCCTCGACGGTCGTTTCAATCGGTGGCGTTGGAGCGGCGCACGCGACGCAGACGGTGGCATTGTCGCGGGCAGGCGGGCGGGCGGGCGGGCGGCCACGGTGTTTGCAGTGAGCCGGGCGGAGCGCCACAGCGCTGCGCTTGAGCGACGCGCAGGGGCGATCCGGGGATAGACGGGGTCACACGGGCACACGGCCGCGCGTGAGAATTGTTGGTGGCACGGTGAAAACAACGCATCACGTGACTTGGAGGTAAAGACGGGGTGGGGGGGGAACGTGAGGTAGCAGGGTTACGCGCAGACGCAACACGTGGGAACACGGGGTCCTAGCCGTGGCAGTCGTCGCTCGTTTTCGTGGGCGCAAGCGCCTCGGGAAGATAACATGTTGTTCTTGCCGGTATAGGTGGCGGGTAGCGTGTCCGCCCAGGCCTCTGATGACCGCGCGCCGCTGCACAGAGACGCGCCGTGTTCTGCGCGAGCTGAGAATAGCTCAGCGTGGCTCCTTCACCGCGTCCTTCAGCCGGTCGAGACGGTCGGAATGGTCGTTTAGCGGAGCCTCGCTGTTTATCGCCGGCATACTGCGACGTGTAATTTTGACAGCTCGTAAGTGTTGTTGCTTTTTTAGCGGCGCTTCAGTACCAGGCGCCGTCCACTGGCAGTGAATGCGACGATAACTTCTAAACGCAGTGTTTACAATCCTCCATGCTCCGCCATGTGATCTGGTCTCTTCTTCGGCGAACTTACGGGCATTGTTCGTCCGAACCGGTCACGTCGGCTCAGCAGCAGAGCGAGCGGTTCGCAATAAAGAAAAAAGTTGCGAGTTCAAAACCGGGATCGGGGGTTGACTCAGCCAATCGTCCCTTCGAAGTCAACAACATGAGCACGGCACAACGCGGTGGGAAAATCAACAGTGGCTGTCTTATGGACAGACGCGCCCCCTTCAGTGGAATGTGGAATTTCCACCACTGGCTCAGGGCTGTAAACTGGAGAAGAGTACTGCATCAATAAAACAATTGCCGAGTTATGACTCTGACATTTATCCGGTTGTTCATGTGACAGTGATCTCGCACATTCTTCTGTGCTCGACCGAGCAATTATCTGCATATTTCTCTTCGCTCTGGGTTCTTGTCACAACACGAAAGGGGAAACTGAGACCTTGAGAGGAATTTGCAGGGCTCTCGATGCGGACAGAATGATCATTGCTCCTGAAAAGCAAAAAATACTCAACGAGTCGCTGTCATTACCAGATGGCGGATGAATATCAACGTTTTCCGGCGTATAATGGAACTGTTTATGTTGATTGGAAGTTAAGTCTAATGTTTCATTCTGCGTAATGGACAACGGTTCTTTGATTTCGCGTAGCTAATCAATTTCAGGCAATAGGCAGCAGCTGCCCCCCCCCCCTCCCGCACGCCCTGTGCGAGTTTCACCGCTCGCCTTGGGCTCATTGACGCGAGACTTCAACTGCGCGCGACTCTCACTCGGCGCCAATTGCGCGTGGCGTATCGGGTCACAGAGAGACAGAGCGCCCTATGCGTTGTTCGAGCGTACGCCTCTCCACCTGTACGTGTGTGTGTTGAACCTCTTTCGCAGCGTACGCAGCCAACTGTGCTAATCGGAGGTTCCGGGGGAAGCACAACACACCTAAACACAAAGAGCAGTTCTAAAGAGACGAGTTTGTCAATCTAGATGATGATTTACGAGCACATTGCTCCAGTAGCTTCCTAATATCGGAAGGAAGAGCGTTCCAGACGGCCGCAGAAGCGCATCTCAAAGCGCTCGACGCGGCGACCACCATCTTTGTTTCTTTGTTCAATGGCCAGCAACCTCTGCCTATGGCGATTTTTCCGCTATCCCGTGCAACTCTGAAGTGAGGCCGCGCAGTTTTGCACGCAGCAAAAGTTTTTTTTTATATTTGGGGGGGGGGGGGGTTCATTTTGTGCCACTGCAATACAAAGTCAATTATTTCTAGAAACAACATTTATTGCATTTACGTACCGTTTACAGTCCTGAGCCAGTGGTGGAAAATCCACATTCCTATGGCAGGGTAAGTGTATCCCAGATAAATGATCAACTCCCAACAAACATTCCAGCTCGCAGCCTCTCCAATTGCGAGCCGCTTGCCCTTCCGCTGAGCCACCTGGCCATACATTTATTATAATAAGTGTACCTGTAATTAAACGACCATCGTTAATGATATATTGACACATTTACATTGACGAAGCATCTCCAACTTGGCCTGTGGCGGACGACGGCCGTCTAAACAGTGGGGTGCGGTGGAGGGGTGGAATTGACAGCAAAGTTTTCCTCTCGCCATGCTGCGCCTCTCTCTGATGCCAGTCACCTCTCGAGAACTCGCCATCACACCGGCCCAGGAGCCTGGCTGCTGCTGCTGTCTAGGAGGCGTGCACACCCAGCCCGTGGGGGAGGTGGGGGCGTGCTCCTCGGCAAGGCTCTGGAGGTGGCCGTGGCACGTTCGGGGGAGGACCGCGAAACCTCTGGGTGGAGCTCGGCGTTCGGGAGGAGAGGCTACAGTGGCTTCTGTCCGCCGCGTATGCCGCTGGCTCCGTGCCCTCGCTGGCCAGCTCCGTTCGTCATATTCAGCTGGCGCTCACGAGCACAACTTAAAGTGAAACTGGATAAGGACTCTTTCTCCATCGCCCCCCACCCCACTCGTTACATAACGGCGCCGCCGTCGTCATCAACAACACGCGGGGTTCATTTCGTGTCCTCTGCTCCCCGCAGTGCCTCATCAGCGGCAGCGGCGGCGGCGGCCAAGCTGCCACGCAGCACCTATCGTGAATGCGCGATGCAGCAATGCACCGAGCCTAGCGCCTGCGCAAAAAAACTGATTTAATCGCTCCGTCTCCCCGGCGGCCGCTCCACTCTGGGACGCGTTACAATTGTCGCCAATTCTTTGTATAAAACAAGACGACTTGTTCACCACGTATTGAAAATTCTACCGTTGTATTAATTATATTACATCGCAGGATTGTGAGAGGTGGTGCCGGCTCGGATAGGCAGGCCTTCATCCAGCAGTGGATTGATCACGGTTGATGAATGAAATCTCCATATTTAACTTGCGGCAATATCAATGTATTAATGTCCAACATAACATAAGCTTTTACAATGGATGGTTTCTAATTTTTGTATGTTAACTATAAACACTAGCCTTATTTTATTTAGTTGTACTATTCGTGGACAATTAGGTGACCTTTTTCGATGATTATTTACAACCGGGCAACGACTCAATTGAGAGGAGAATTCCCTTCTCCAGGAAACTCGCGCGCTTCCCAGATGTGATATTTACGCAACTTGCAAGCGACTCTTCTGTGTGCGTCGTGCACCGCGTATCCGTGGTCACTACGGCATTGAAGCCCCGGTAAGTTTGGGAAGGACATTAGCAAGGTGATTGCGCAAGCTCGCATGATGAACGATTCCTAGAAGGGGATCGATGTAGCATGATTTTGGGCTGGTTTTAGTCGACACGGTGATTGCAATGGGAAAGCTAATTACCTGCCACAGTAAATAAGATCCCAGATGACAAACGGCCTCTCCCCAAGGCTTTCCTTTACGCTGGCATAATCTCCAGCAGTTTCAAGCCCCAGCACACGTGTTTCGTATCTTATCAGAGGCCGGCAACACTGCATCCCCTCTGTGGCTTCGGTCTTCGAATGCGCATCAAAGGGAGTGCTTTCCATGTCCCTGACATCACATGGCGGCGCGACGCTGCCGTGAAAAATCAATTGACTCGTCCAGACGTGGGAATGCCTCATCCCTCAGAACGGACGCACGTTGAGGCTGGTTGCGAAGATCTATCAGAGGTGGTCACATTCGCATTTGCAAACGGGAGCAAGGCACACAGATGCGATATTTAGAATCAGACTGTGATTGTGGGCAGCCTTCCTGCGGAGCACAAACAGCAGGAAGGAATAACTCCCTCCATGCCTCGCATGCGTGCCATGTGATCACCATATTGTACAGTAGATGCAACGCTCTCAGCCTTGCCCAGCCCACCGGCTCGTGAGATGAATGTGAGGCTACATGCAGAAGGGCCATTGCCCGAAACGTCGCCATATACAGAGATTTGCTTTTAAGGCTACAGTGCTACAGATGGATGTTTCGTTCTTTGTGAGCAGCACGCCATTGCGTGGTGTTACATCTCGTTGTGTCCAGCCTCTCCGTTCGCTTTCACGATATGTGAATGAGACTCGGTTCATTTATACCGAGAAAACAGAACCGCCGGGTAAATGCGTGAGCAGCATCTCGGTTGAACGGCGCTGCGTGTCCCGTTTAAGTGACGGATTTGTTTTGCCAGGATAAGTCGGCACGGGCCCCACTCTGCAGCCCTCTGCTGGGCGAGCGACGAGGACAAATCTTGCTGTGCCTACCGCCGTGTGCTCTTTTTTTCTCTCTCAACGATTTGCCATCACTGGCCTTTATAAATAATTCACGAGCCATGAATTACAACTTGTGCCTCGTAGTCACGTTTATCACGCGTCCTTTCGTCCGGCAGGTTTTGTCGTTTGTCATTGCAAAGCGGCGGCGCTGGTGGTGCAGTGTTTTGTGAAGCGCGCCTGTACACCTGGCAACCTGAGTTCAGTTCTTGGCCACGGCCGAGAGTTCATCTGAACCAACCCCGGCCCCTCTACACCCTAATGGTTGTCCCAAGGTTCGTTTGTATGAGCATTGCGGGGTCATGCTGGCAGTTTTCCACTCCAGTTCTCTGTTACAATATATATTTTTAAAATCGGGCGGAGTGGTGGCTAGCACACTGCGCAATGAACCTGGCAAGCTGAGTTCGATTGCCAGCCATGGCGAGTGACGTGCGATCCAGTTCTGGCCAACCCCTTCCTCAACCTGCACTACCCAGCGTGGTGAAGTATGGCCAAACAACACAGAATGAGGCATTCGTTCAGCAGTGGATGTCAATGACAATTGGCTGCAAAGAAATAGTGTAATGTTATTAATATTCGCGTCACAGAACTGCTGTGGTAATTATCGGTATAGAATGTTCACCGGGGCAGAGGTCACTGGAGCCTATTTGGTTTCGAGAACATTTTGCTCTGGAGGTTTTGAGATCTGGTTCACGTCAGGTCACCAGTTACACACACAGCGGTAAATGAGTGCTGCTATTCTGGTAACATGCAAATCAAAACACTGGAATACACATTGTTCCACCAGGCCTGTGTCGCGTTAAGGCCCCACTTAGCTGTTATGTATTACGCAATGCGGGGGTGAAGAGTTTTCTCTTTTTTTGGAACGACGAGAAGGCATTTGCGGACAAGTCACAGAAGCCAAGTAAAGTTGTTTTGCCAGTACAGCGCGGAGCGCTTGCTTAATTTGGGGCCAAAGTGCGTGCCGAGGGGAGTGAAGTTCAGAGCTGTGCGATGTCGCACCGCGAGGGCATTTCTCCTGGAACGAGCTTTATACTAACCGTGATCCATTTTTAGACAGCGCCACTAAATATGGAGGCATTATTATCGAGAAAACAAGTTCCGTCATTTTGTCTCCAAGCCTCTGCACGTCTCTCTCTCACACACACACACCAATCTGCTACACGCACTCATTCATGCATTCCAAGGCTTCCTCCGCAAGATATGGGGGCCATCACTTTCACAGCGTGAAATCAGCTGTTGAGAAGTGCGACACAGGCGTTAGATTTCAGTGGCGTGTCCATAAATAATCACACTGTTTGACAAAACCTACCATGCTGGAAAGAAATTTCAACAGTGGTCATTGTCACGTGTTTGAGGACACAATCCGTATTCTCTGCATTATGACTCGCAATCGTTCCCTCCCAGTATGTCAAAGCAAAAGCTGGGTCTGTGTCTCGTGATCTGGTCGTAGTACGTGTGTGTGGGTGGGGAATTGTGATGTTTTGTTGTTTGGGTGTTATTGTCCACGGTCCCTAACGTTATGTTAAGCTTCACTAGGAGCTTTAAAGGACCGCGGTCCCTGGGGTTCGGAGCCACTTCTTGGAGTCGTTCAGTAAAGCACTCGTTCATGTTGAAGCTTCTCTGCCTCTGGTCGGATTAAGGAGTGAGTCTGGGGTTGCTCTGGAGGGTCAAGACACAACAACAACGTTAGTGTAGCGGTTAGCGGCGCTGCGCTACGAATCTGGCGGCCCGAATTCGAATTCCGCTCACGGCCAACACCAGTGGCGATTATCGAACTGGTCCTGGGCCTCCCCGAGGTCGACTCAGCCTCAAATGAGTTTCTGGTGCGGTGTGTGAACATCGCCACTGGAGAGACAAAGGCGACCAAGCGTGGTTTTGGCCACCCTCCCTGTCGTGTGTCGTGTCGGTCTTCATAGGTGCTCGCTAACAGCACTTGCCCCAACAGTCTGTAAAGGCTATACGGGGGTTCTTTGTCTTTATGTGTGGGACCAGACTTGTTCACCTCTGCCAAACACAGCCATAGATATTGGGGCGCGTCTTGCTTTTCAGAGCTTATAATCCGGAGAATACAACAAATATTTAGGCAGTCGGTACAATGTCATCATCCTCAGGGTTATACATTGGCTGTCTATAAATAATATATTTTTTCAGATATTTTATTTAAAAAAATAGTTTTCGCCATTCGCTCACTGACAAAACAGAATTAGCGCGTTGTAACTACGCAGGATCAGAGTGCTTATCCTGTCTCGACGCCGCTGTTTATGTTGGAGACGGACCAGACAGGATCCCCTTCCTCTGCTGAAATAACACATTCAGCAACAACACACACAAAATCACACAATGAGACCATCAAAAAAGATGATCTCCATGCAAACATTGACAACAAATGCACTACTGTACCAGGCACTCCCACAACTTTAGGAAACTTCACAATGCAAATATTAAAAGCGTCACGATCACATGTATGGGGTTGTTACTTTCAAAGTCATAATCTACAGTTGAAAGCAACAATGAATACTTCGTCAATAAACCGAGACTGTGGGGCACCGTCGCCATCCGAGCGTGGATGAGAAAGCCGTGCCACGTTGAGACTGTCCGAGCTGGCCGTAGGTTGTCCACCTCGAGAAAGGTGGACGATGTCTGGAACGCGAATGGCGGTCCTGAGTGGTTGACAAAAAAAACCCCAAGCACAGCGCCACCTCCCGATGACACGAGAACGGTTCACCCACTTCTTGCAAGTGTCCACAATGTGCATCCGAAATTATGGAGCTGCTCTGATGACTACGAACCTCACGACCGACTGGAGTGGGGCCTTCATCCAGCAGTGGATTGACAAGTGACCATACATTAGTATTATTCTACGTTGAAATTTGTTGTGCATGTTTGTTTTATTTCACTCACCAGAACGGTGCGCTATTAAGTATGTTCCACATTTATACGTCGTGGGGTTTAGATGGAGCGGAGGTGATGAGCAGGTGGTCGAGGATAATGATGGAGTGACAGCCAAGACGTGGAATGTGACCGAGCTGACGTACCCCGAGGAGATGGAGCGATCAGATCGGCTCGCGTGCAGGTGCGGGGTTAAACCATTACATCACGTGGTCATGAGACACGATGGCAGCTGGGCGAAGCCTTCGTCCAGCAGTGAATTGTCCAAGGCTATTGCTGCTGCTGACCATTATGATATTACTGATCATAGTTTTAATGTTTTCATGATGTTTGTGCCTTGAAAGAGCAGGGGTTACTAAACATCACTGGGCACGAACAGGTTACATTCTGCAACAGACCATTGCTACGTGCACGATGCACTTGCGGACTCTGGCGAATCGAACCTTGGGTTAAACTGGAAAGCAGAACTGGGACGGGGGGTGGGGGCTCGGCAGGTTTGGTACTCGGCAAGCTCGGGGAATGCGGAGAGAACTCGCAATGCATTTCATTTGGGATGTCCGTCGCACTCCGTGCATGTATATATGTTGAACTTCTTTTGCACCGTACGTAGCCAACCGTGCTAATCTGAGGTACGGGGAAGGACGACAAACTAAACACAAAAAGCACTTAGGAAGAAAACGAGTTTTCAATCGAGATGATTCAAAGTGCAAAGCTCCAGTGGCTTCCTAATATGGGAAGGAAGAACGTTCCAGACGGCCGCAGAAGCGCATCTGAAAGCGCGCGATGCGGTGACCACCATCTTTCATAACAAAGGTTTTTGGGTTAGATCGCGTTATTTATAAATGTGTCGTAACCCTCCACCACCCGACACGGCCAAACAGTAAAAAAGTGTCACGTTGACAAAAGACAAAATAATTGACTACTTTAGCCCACCGGTGTGTTGAAGAGTGCATCCACAGCATTTACATTTTGAGTACGACGTTTCGCTGGTAATTACATCCAGCATCATCGGGCAATTCGCCAGAATGGTGAAGCCCTCCACTTGCTCCTGGTCTTAAATAGAGCAGCAGCAGGGTGACGTCATCATTTAACTCATTCAGGTGCAGTTATTTAAGGCGGAGGGGGGGGGTATTGTAATTATATAATTGATTGGTAATCAGTCAATTGTTATGATTAGTAATTAGTTGTAGATTAGTAATTAGTTGTAATGTGTGTTATTGTAATTAGATGCTACGTTAGTAATCAGTTAATTAGTATGTGTTTCCCCTATAAGGAATTGTATAATGTATTATTTAATAATAAGCTTAAATAATAACGTCGTACTCAAAAATTGTAAATGTTGTGGATTCACTCTTCAACACACCGGTGGGCTAAAGTAGTGAACTATTTGTCTGTTGTCAACGTGACACATTTTATACTGTTTGGCCGAGTCGGGTGGAGGAGGGTTACGACACATTTATAAATAACATTGGTCGCAAAAGCCTACGCGTTAAACTGACCACCGTCTTTGTTTGATGGCCAGGAAAAAGCTGCTGCTGCTGCGAGGATGACCGGAGTTGGTGTGATGGCGTATGCTCCTTGAGATCAGCAAGGTATTGTGACACGGGGACACACGCGCACACAGAGACACGCGCGCGCACACACAGACGCGCCGCGTCACCGCTCGTTGCGGGGTACGGACTGCGTGGGGCCCCTCTCCCTGGAAAACGCTGAGAGGTTTCGCAGATGGTGCGCGTGCGCCATGCGCGGGGGCGGCCACGTCAGGAGGGGCGCGCTGCTCTGAGCAAACCGTCTCGGCCAATGGCCGATGGGGCCCTTTGGCTATCCAGAGAGATAGAGAGAGAGAGAGCGGAGGGGGCGAGCGGGGGTGGGGGCAGTGTCGTCGTAAATCATCGAGAGTGTCATTTGAGTGGACTAGCGCCATCGGTCAGGACAGAATGTACAGACGCACAAGATCGCTTTCTTTGAAAAGCGGACACCAGCCAAGAAGTTTCCCCAGCTGCCATTCTGTCCGTGGGTTTCCTGAGGTTTGACTGCCCCTCACATGAACGCACACACGCATACACCTCCGCACACGGTTCACGGGCGTACGTTCGGGACAGCCGTGTGTAACACATTTGGAATTGTGCCTCGCCACGGAGCGCCGGCGCTATTTTCTCGCGCGCTTTATGTATTCTGCAGGGTGCCGCGGGGAGTTCAGTCTGTGACTCAAGTGCCCCGTTATGAAACCGGTGGTGTTTTATTTTCTCTCTCTCTCTCTGAGCGTGGGACGGCAGGGCACACAGGCTTACTTCATGGAATAGTTAGAGCTGCTCACTGTGTGGGAATCAGTCAAGGGAATCCATGCCCTGGGCGTCATGGTGCATACTCATTAATTCGCCAATGCACTTTTGAGTTCGAACAACCAACGAAAGAAACATTGGTACTGTACTTCTCACGAAAAAAATAGACAAACACATTGGCATAATGCGTACATATTTATGAATTTGCTTATTTTCATAATATTCTGTGAAAGTGGCCTCCTCAGATATAACGTGGCATGAAGATACGAATGTTAGTTAACACTTTATGAGACCGCTTTTGTGAACAACATAAACCCAGCAACATCAACAAAACATCTCTAAAGTTAAATAGAGGACCCCATTACCGAGAAATTATTTAAACCTCAAACTACAGACGTGGGTTTCCTGTGGGGTTAATCCTGGTCATATGCAGCACAATCTGAAGGGGACATTTCTGAATGCATTGCATGCAATTGAAGGCAGCGGTGCAGCCCTTCGATGGCCTCATCCCTCCTCTGCTGGAGGAAGAGCCTTCCACAAGGGGGAGCTCGATATTCTGTCCCTAATATTTTTTTCTACACCTGCCAGACATATTTCAGACCGTGGCAGGACCCGCACACAACATGCCAAGTGACAACCCGGGCGGTGAATCTCGCGATGATAAACTCCCACCGTTGTTTTAACTGCTACGCCGGGGGCTCAGAACCCGCCACCTCTGGATTACAAATCGAGTGTGCTAACCATCGCACCCACGGCATCATCATGCCACGCCGTTCTCAACTGACTTCTTCCCTCGTACGCTCAAGTTTCCAAGTCATGGAATGAAGTCAGATACTGTAATGGCTTTGGTCAAAATAACCCCACTACCATTGAGTGTCGGTAAACTGATTTCTCAGTGCGGTGTAATTTACTCTACTGCAGTCACATGCGATACTAAGTTGGACGGTGACGTAATGCCTGAGAGCAATAGACACTCGCTTTAGCGTCTCTCTCTCTTTGCGCGCCGCGATGATGATTTGTGATGGCCATTACGTAAGTGTTCTCCGACGGCCAATTTAAGACATCTGCTCGGACTTTCGCTTGCAGTTTCATTTGGGGCCCGGCTGCACGTTGTGTAGTGGTCGTTGCCAGTGAACGTCACCTTCCCCTCCTGTGTTGGAGCAAGACTAATAAACAATCGCGCTGCAAAGTAACGCGGCCAAACTCCACCTGTCCGCGGTAATGTGGGGGATGGACATCGTGGATTGTATTATACGAAATATGATCTCGGAGTTTAGTTGGCTTTATCCGCAGCAAACAAAAAGTGTTGTAAACCCACGGAGAATAGGATTGATTTGCAGTGCGGTTGAAAAAATCACGGATAATAATATGAAGCTGTTCTTCAATGCGGAATGAGAACACAAAAGCACGGATAATAGGAGTTTTCACAGATGCTCTACGTCCCATAGAGAGGAGCGACAACACTACAGGCAATTATCTTCCCAGGAAAGCTCCAAAGGCTCAACACATCTTGGTTCTTTCGGTAAAGTCACGTAGAATGGAAATAAAATAATCCCTGCAGTCACGAAAGCTTTAACTCGAGGCTCAAAACATGTTTGCATCCTTCAATGGGATGTTTTTCAAATTCCATTAGTGAATGGCATGAGGTCAAACATCCGAATACCCTGGGAAAACCCACACATACGAGGGGATAGCACTCAATACTGCCATCTTCAACACTGCCATCTACCGTGAGATCACGGAAGTTGTGAACCATACTTCACCATTCTGGTGAATGCAAGTTGGTGAAGGGGAGAGCATCGAAGAAAGTTCAGATGTCACTCGCTGTTCATGTCAGCCATGGGCGAAAATCGAACTGGGGCGTCGGGTTCCCAGCGCAGTGCGCGAACCAATGCACCACCCCTCCAGTGCTTAATGAGGTAAAGGTGCAGCCCCGCAACTCCGTCATCGGCTACCTGTGGAGTTCCCCCTGAGTGAACAGATGCGCAGGGAATTAAGAAACGTGTCCAATGTGACAACTTGCGCGCTGGGAGATTTAACCAATGACGTCTGGTGTCGCAAGTCCAGTGTGCGACCCATTACTCTACAGCAGCAGCAGCATTCCTTTCAACTTCATACATTAAACACTGGCAAGTTACCTAGATTATCACCGGAAGTCCTCCAGTGATAATTGTGGCGTGGCCTGAGCTCGTTCTCCCCCGAACCGAATCTTCAGCAAATTCATTTTGTGTTTTTAATGAATCCAGACCAGCCCATACCCGTGGGATGAAATATGCAAATACAGTCATAGCCAGACTGTTATTGTTTTGCTCATTGAAATATTTGACTTGGATAATAAATCTGTTGAAATGGAACATCATGTTTGTCAAGGGTGTCTACGGTAGGTTTGATGGGGGCCCGAGACGCTTCATACATAGGAAGGCCTTTTTCCATTTCATTTAATACGAAATATTAGGGATGCGTTTCGTACAGTCATTCCAACTCTACTCCTAACATGAAAATGTATACCTATATCACTTTTATTAATGCAGAAATCGGAATAAAGAACTTCAATATTAAAACGAAGGACTCGTAATTGATTTAAAACAAAAATGAATGACCTTTTCAAGGAACTCACCAAAAGATCTGGTGCAAGTTGGAACGAGTGGAGGGGGTGATGTGGAGGCGTCGCTGTTCCGCTGCATGGACTCCGTGGTGACGCTGTCGCGGGTGGATGGCGCAGCCTGCCGGGAGCTTTTTCTTCAATTATCTCGCGACGCCTGCCGTAGTGACATTTCAATCACGCGGGAATTCGATTTCGTTCATCGAAAAGTGTCCACGGTTTGTGTTCACCCACTACATGTGCGAGGAGGCAACACTCTAACCATACATAAAGCAACATAACGAGATTCAATCTTCATTTTAAGCTTTCGTGACTGCAGGAATCCATACTTTTTGGTTCTTTCGGTAATGGAACTGCAGTTCCACTGCTGGATTATATTTTTTTCCGCCTGAGGACGACCGCTTGTGTTGCGATCGAAACGTCGTGATATATTTTATTTTATACCTCCGTGACTTTACCGACAGAACCAAAGAGTTTGACGAGATTCGTCCGCACTTTCCTGTACTGGCTTCTCCTGGCGAGCCAGGGTACGGCTCATCCTCGACGCCCATGCGAAGGGAGTTTTGACAACAACATCATCTGTGTGTGATCCACCAACCCTAGCTGCTCTCTACAGAGTGATTGATCACAGGCTGCCACTAGCCAGCACTGCCGGATGGTTAAAAGTTATTTCATTTTTAAGTGTGATATTTTAATGAAAGAGTTCAATTGAGCGAAATTATCAACATGTTATCATCATTGGTACGAATGCACAAAGTGATGTTTTGTATTTTATTACAAATTGACTGATAGCATGTATCAAAGTGCTACGATGTTGCGTAACAACCATTGTTGAGAAAGCACAACTTTTTTTAGGGCCCCCTTTTTAATTTATAAACTACGAGTTAGAGATCAGAGAAAATAGACAAGATTTAGAGAGAAGCGATAACTGTGGACAAAACAGTCGTGAGATGAGATAAGATAGATAAAGATGTGACAGAGATCGAATGGAACGAGAGAGTCGCAGACCATAGACGAGCTCCCCATTCGATGACCAAAGAGAGATGCCGACAAGATAAGGACGAGAGAGATATTTGTTTGGTGGCTCGTGTGTGTCAATTGTCTTGATTTAAATTCCAGGTGATAATTGGGGTATATTTTTATTTATTTATATCGGCTATGAATCCGGCGCACCTTGGGCTGCTTGGGGGGCTGGAGCCCTCGCCTGCTTTGCTTCTGTGTGACCGCCTCCGCCGTTTGCAGGACACAAAGGGGCCACCCTGTCATCAACGGCCACCGCTGTTGTTCCTCGCGAGCCGCGGGCCGGGGGCGGGGGGGGGTGCGAGGCGATGGATATTGCGCAAGGCGGCCGATCTGATGGATGTGTGAGCGGTGCAGACGGCGTACGGAGGGCGCCGTCTCCTGCGGGTCCACGCTGCTGGGAGCACGCCTCGCGGACATGCGCCGCTCTTGGCGACCGGGAGGGGACATCGTGTGCCCCAGTGGTTGTGGTGAGATTTTGAAGATGATTTGCATGTGTGGCGCAGCTTTTGTTTTGTTATCTGTGCGCCATGCGCAAATCGATTGATACGTTTCCAAGCATTTGCTAACACCGCGGCTTTTACATATTAAATTAATTAAAACAATTAACCTGAAAAATCCATGAATATGGAACATCTCATTAGCAACGGTGTCCAGGGTGACATTTTACTTGTGAGGTTGCAAGCAGGTTATAAATATCTCACTCACCTCCTTCATCAATGAGACATCAAAGACAAGTCTCGGTAGTTTGATTGTGGCCATGCAATCCATACGATGGACCGCATCGTAAACCTCCGTATAGTCTGCACACCTTCAATGGAGGGCGAATAGCAAATCGACACGAACTCTCTCTCTCTCCTGTAGCCCTAGCAGACCTCGACATTGGCATTGAGCTCGTGAACAAACTTCTGCCATCGCGCGCAAGAGCGGACTTCGATGGCATCCCATGCAGACGTCGTCCACCGAGACGTGGGCACCCGTCAAGGGGCCACCCTCTCGCCGCGCAGGTCGTGAGCGGGATTCGACCAAACTTCACCAACACATCTCTCCACGTTTGTCTCCTCACACTGTTCGGATTTTGAATCCGCCTCATCGTCTCTTTTCCCAACGTCTTATAACATCGCTCAATTCAAGGCGTGTAAAACGTCTCTTTCATACACCTACATTGGTGCTATTTGTTGCTGGCCGCTTAACATGTTGGGTCCGTGCTCAGCAACCAACTGCGATAAAAAAAGACAACCCCAACTCGATAGAATAAACAACCTGGTGTGGAGTTCAAAAGATGGCTCTACCTTTAGACTGCACTTCTCTGCTTGCACGAGACCGCTCGCTCTCTGTGCGCTGACGGCAACCGTTGTCGATTCCGCGCTAATTCGCATGGACACCGCGGCCGGGGCTGAGCGGCGCAGCGCCCAAGAGCGCGGGCGAGGCGAGCGCAGTGACGGGGACGAAGCCAGCGACGTGCGGCGTGGCGGGCGTCTTTGTGGGTGCCGAGTGTGCTCGCTCGCCCGTCCACGTGCGCGCCATGACCCCGGGCACCCGGCTGGCTGTAACGTCGAGCAAACACGGCAGGCGAATGAGTCCATTTACTGCAGGCTTCCTCCCCCTCTCCCCCCCTGAATTGCCTGACGGACATCGCGTTCCTTGCGGTTGTTGATTTAGTGGTTTGTAAAAACTTGCAACCGCTGTGTTCTTCACAAGGAAAAAAAACCCACCCAGCTTTGATAAAAGTGAAGCAATGAAAGGTGACCTCAAAGGCATTCACACTGCGCCTCTGTGGCCTGCTGTCGTGTCTCAGTGGAATGTGGTGGTGGGTTTGTGTGTGTATGGGGGGGGGGGGGGCATGTATACATACCGTAGTGGAAGCTGGCGATGAGTGTTAGCCTTTTTAGGTTAAATTGGCTGTTATATTCCCAGGACAACTCACTGTCACTATGAACGGTACTATGGTACACCCGTATCGGGCGGTGTGGTGGTACTGTGGTGTTAATGCACTGCTCTGTGATCCATGTAACCAGAGCTCTGTGATCCATGTAACCAGAGTTTGATTGGCAGTGATATTTGAACCGGCCTTGGGCCCTTACCTTAACCAACTTGTAATTGGCCGACAAATAGCCCTCCTTAACCTGCACAACAAGGGGAGGCCCTTGTACAACAGCGGATTAATAAACCGCTGTACATGTGCTCAGTGTTCAGTCCTTTGTCAATAGACTGGTGGATGAGGGCTTCCCTTTGCTGTGTGAGCCATGGGGGCTGGGGGGTTGTTTGACCATACTTCACCACGCTGATCAATGTGGTTTGGTGAAAGCAGGGAGCGTATCGTAGATATGAGAGCATCGAAAAACAGTATGACAATGGACATTTTTGTACTGCTCTCTGCTGATAACCACGGAGCCGCGCAGCCTGTATCACCTGGTATGCATGGACAGGGGTCGGAAACCGAAGTGACAAGAGGAGACATTGTTTTACAATTCGGTAAAACACTCAACGTTTCAAGAGCTACAATGCACGTGGTGAATACGAGACGGTGGTCCCTTAAAAAATATCGTCACGAAGGAGCAGTCCTTCAAGAGCCGCCGCATGCTGCTCTGGTGCCGCAGGTTCGCCGAGCCCCGTGCGTGGAGGTCTCCCACCCAAGCACTGTCCAAGCTCAACGCTGCTGAGCTTCCGAGATCTGATGAGATCACACGCATGCCACGTGGTTTTGACATCGGTTAAGAAGAAGAAGAATAATAATGCCCTGTTTGTTATTATTGCACCATTGATCACACATGAAGTTGTCTGTCAACGTCACATTGCAACAAACCGAATTGCACACTTTCTAAACGAAAATGTTCCGCATTGATGTGATTTTTTCTTCTCCAAAAGTGTTAAATTGCAAGCAAATTAAAGCTGGTTTAAGCTTGTTAAAATACTTCATATCCTCTGCTATGAAGAAGGGACATTTCCAGAAACGTCGTGCTCTGATACATTTATTTTATTGTCGAGCAGTGATACTGAAAGCTGCATTGAGTTTCTCTTAATTTTGTGTTGGTGCAGCACTACTAATGCAGTATAACAATTGTATATACATGTATGTAATATAGGTGCTGATTTAAGCGTTAAGACTCGGGGTGGTACTGCTGCATTTACGTTAATTCTGTTTAAGGGAACTTGATTAAATAAATAAAAAACCTCTACGAAACATCTCAGAATAACAGGCGCGCTAATCTATCATTGTGACGGGCTGACAGTGGTTGACTGACCGCGCCTTGCCTGTTTGTTTAGAACGGTCAGAAGACGGGTCCTGATAAGGGGCCCTGAGAATGTTGTCCCAGTGCGTGTGGTTAAGTGTCAGAGGCCTCTCCGCGCCCGTCCATTGGGAAACGCTTGTTTGTGCCATGGGCTTGCGGCTTCGCGGTTAAGAAAGCAACCCAGAGGTTCGTCGCGCCCCGTTAAAAATACGCTTCTGGGAAACGAGCATCTAAAAAAAACTCGGAGATTTACGGTAGCGTCCAAAAATCAATCTCGCCACGAAAAAGGGGCAACAGCCGAATAAAGTTGCGTGCGATTTTTTGTTGCAAGCAACGGTCAACGGTGGATGCCCATATATTTATTAAATTATGTCCTTCTTCTCGTAGCACGTATGACTCGGTGTGTCAGAACGTGTGCGTGTACAGCGCTGTGGTCATTCCACTGCTGCATGAAGGCCTCCCCGTGCCGTGCGGGTTATCGGGGTTATTAGACCAGACCTAATCACGCTGATCAGTGCATAATTGAGAGCAATGTGCATTTGTCATTTTCTTTGTTATTAAATGCTCATTGTCCTTTTTAGATTATCGCGTAATGTTCCTTGTGGTTTTTTTGCGCTAAATTCCAGTTCTGAAGGCCTCCTCTCTGTAAACTTTCATATTATCATCATTATCATGCATGCATCCCTCTGTGGGCCACATTTGTCCACCACGCAGCGCTGTGGGCTATAACCATCAACGCTGCTGTCATCTTTGGTGGTCGCTCATCAAAGCACTATCCAGGCTCAGCCAACCCTGCGCTGCTTATTTTCCAAATATATCAGATTTGTTGCGTTCCGAGTGAATTGCTCATGGGCTTTGTATATCAATAAAATATACACACATGTTTTAGTACATATGTATAGTTGCACACGGGGCATCTGCAATTATTTCCATCGTCGTGACCACCACCGTCGTGGTAACAAACTCGTTTACTAGTAACACGCCAGCTGGTGTTGGAGAGTCGCGTGTGAGCACTCGAGATGCAGGAATACCAGCGGCGATCTTTTGTTGTTGCCGTCATTTTCGCCCAAGTGTATCCCCGATGTGTCTCTCGGCGTTGTGTCAGAGCAATGCAACCCCCCTCCACCCCCATGTTAGAGATTGGCCCACAGAAGCGGGTATCATAGAGCTACATCTGAGATCCCTTCAAGCGACCTCTGGTCCACACACAGCCGAGGGCAGCACTTCCACACTCACTCTGACGGTGAAACTGACATTTGAAATGAACACAGAACCACATTTTATTTCATTGATTATTTTGTGCACTTTTTGGTGACCGGACTGAGCGCATAAAGTCGCTACATTTGGGGGCTCGGTTTTAATCACGGTCGGCTACCTGGATTCGAGCTCAGGCCCTCCAGGGGGCCAGCTCGGCCCACTGACCTCTGAGCCCACGCGGCCGCTTTTTGCGCACGCAGCGGCAAATTCCCGTAACGCGCCTCACTCGGCCGCTATCGACGATCAGACAGTGCGGTCATCCTAACGTGACAGCAGGCCGGGCGTTGGTGCAGTTGCGTGGTGGATGAGTGGCCGCTGGTGATTAATTCGGAGGATGTGGAAATTTGAGGCCGGCGATGGGGAGGGGGGGGGGGTCCAGCTACTGCTCTGAATGTAATATTGGCGCAGCCCTCTGTTATCAATCCACTGCTGGATAATTGTCCGTCCATGCTACGTGGCTCGCGGTGGTTGTGCGAACATATTTTACGACGCTGGTCAGTGTGGGTTAGTGAAGGGGGAGAGATGGTGGTTCGGGACCGGTTCAGATATCACAACGCCACTCATGTTGGCCGTGTTCCAGAATCGAACCCGAGTCACCAGCTTGGTAGCGCTGTGCGTTAGTCACTGGCACGGCCCCTCCACCCCCGCTCAGTTTAATTTGCGTGGGAAGTTTTTTTGCGTGATAATTTGTTGCATGCATCTCGTTTATTTAATAGACTTTGGTTTAAGAGGGCAACAGGAATTCTGTTTGCAATAGCGTTTTCATTGACTTGCAAGGGAAGTTTATGCAGAGCAGCAGACCCCAGGTTCCGGCTGAGAGCAACTCCTTCACATTCACTGCACGACTGCGGAGTGAATTTCAGGGCGTTGTTACTTTTTTTGTCTTATCCGGTTCCTGTTTTGTTTTTCTTTTGAGACGCCTCGTAACTTCAAGCCCGGCCACCAACGAGAGGGAAAGGATAGACGCGGCGGGGCTGTACGTTGCGTAACGAGCATGGCTTCAGCAAACAGCCACTTTCATCTTTGGTCGACGATCGCTGGAAGAAATATTTACAGAAGTTTGTTTCACGTCGGCTACACCGAGCCGGCCGCATGTAAAACAAAACAAATCCGAGAGAATGTCGAGGTCAAGGTGTGAGGTCCCTCTTCCTGCCGAGTGAAACGTCGAGTGTGGCCACGTGTTTTTTTGGTTTCTCTATGAAGGGAAGTTCGTCACGTCTGCTGGTCTTGGCGGCGGGAAAGTGGCGCTCAGGGAAGCACAATGGAAGGCGCTTGCTTGCTCTAGAGCAGTTTGTTAAATACAATCCTGAAGTTGCATTATTTGCTGCTTAGACGATTGAGTTGTGCTCCGAGCGTTTTATATTTGGCGAAGTTTTTAACTCTTTCCCCCGCTTTCTTCAACGAGTGTTACGTATATCTGGGTGCTACACAGGATCGCTCCTCCCAGCATGCCGTGCCCTCATCTCCACACTGCGTTCACAATGCGCACAGCCTTCGTTCGACGGCCAAGAGGAAAACATAAAAACATGTGCCCGCATTGTTATCCTTATTACAATGAGGCAGCTGTGTATAAAGTACCGGTGTCGTCCTTGTTAGCAAACATCACCATCATTGCCTGTTGCCACCTTGCGTTCCAGGGTCTCCATGCTCTGCCTGATCGCTGTGTCGACGGCATGGCGCTGCCTACGTGCAAGAATAAACCGTCGACAAGACATTGTTATAGTCATTATTATTATTACTACTACGCATCAACCCAGAATCCCGTTAAACAGCGGGAAATGTGCAAGCACGCGTGTGTTTGTGGTTTCCCGCTTGTGCTGCTGCAGAGATCTCTTGATGCGTTCTCTGGTTGTGCCGCTCTGCGTCGTCCGGCACGACGTCCGACGTTTCGCTCCACGCGCTGGCAGCTTCCTCGTCTACCGAACGCAGGAGAATTCCCAAAGCGCCCACGTGCGCTGTCCTCTCGCGAGTTCACCGAGGAAGGGCGTGGAGCTCAAACGTCGGCACGTCATGACAGGACGACACAACGCGCGGCTTAACCTGAACACTCCGGGGCGGAGAGACGTGAGGCGAAGAAGGCAGCTAACTCCCTCGCGTTCCCAACGTCCGGTTTGTACCCCGCGAGAGCCCCCCGCCCCCCCCCCCAAAATAAACCCACAGCCTCTCAAGTTCACCGCCTCGCCAGTTCACGTGTTCAGCAGTTCACGTGTTCACAGTTCACGTGTTCAGCAGTTCACGTGTTCACAGTTCACGTGTTCAGCAGTTCACGTGTTCACAGTTCACGTGTTCAGCAGTTCACGTGTTCACAGTTCACGTGTTCACAGTTCACGTGTTCACAGTTCACGTGTTCAGCAGTTCACGTGTTCACAGTTCACGTGTTCAGCAGTTCACGTGTTCAACAGTTCACGTGTTCACAGTTCACGTGTTCACAGTTCACGTGTTCAGCAGTTCACGTGTTCACAGTTCACGTGTTCACAGTTCACATGTTCAGCAGTTCACGTGTTCAGCAGTTCACGTGTTCAACAGTTCACGTGTTCAGCAGTTCACGGGTGCACAGTTCACGTGTTCACAGTTCACGTGTTCAGCAGTTCACGTGTTCACAGTTCACGTGTTCAGCAGCTGCTTCCCACCCCCCGCCCATCCAGAACGACCCCCAGTCCGTGATGGAGCATCACCGTGAGCCGAGTGCGGGGGGGGGGGGAATCGCCCGCACAGAGAGCTGACTTCAGTTCTTTCCTTCTTTAAACTTACGTAACGCTGAATTGTTACAAATACGTGGATTGTGTTTGTTATGCGTCAGCTGGGATAATTTATGTACGTCTGCGTTTGTTGTGGCGGTTGGGTGGTGGTGGGGTGGTGGGTGGTGGTGGTAGGGGGTAGTAGGGGTGGTGGGGGTGGTGGGGGTGGTAGGGGTGGTGGGGGTGGTGGGGGTGGTAGGGGTGGTGGGGGTGGTGGTGGTGGTAGGGGTGGTAGGGGTGGTGGGGGTGGTGGGGGTGGTAGGGGTGGTGGGGGTGGTAGGGGTGGTGGTGGTGGGGGTGGTAGGGGTGGTGGTGGTGGTAGGGGTAGTAGGGGTGGTGGGGGTGGTGGGGGTGGTAGGGGTGATAGGGGTGGTAGGGGTGGTAGGGGTGGTGGTGGTGGGGGTGGTGGGGGTGGTGGGGGGTGCTAGGGGTGGTGGGGGGTGCTAGGGGTGGTGGGGGTGGTAGGGGTGGTAGGGGTGCTAGGGGTGGTGGTGGGGGGTGCTAGGGGTGCTAGGGGTGGTGGTGGGGGGTGGTAGGGGTGCTAGGGGTGGTGGGGGGTGCTAGGGGTGGTAGGGGTGCTAGGGGTGGTGGTGGGGGGTGGTAGGGGTGGTAGGGGTGCTAGGGGTGCTAGGGGTGGTGGTGGGGGGTGGTAGGGGTAGTAGGGGTGCTAGGGGTGGTGGTGGTAGGGGTGCTAGGGGTGGTGGGGGGTGGTAGGGGTGCTAGGGGTGCTAGGGGTGGTGGTGGGGGTGGTAGGGGTAGTAGGGGTGCTAGGGGTGGTAGTGGTGCTAGGGGTGGTGGTGGGGGGATGGTAGGGGTAGTAGGGGTGCTAGGGGTGGTAGGGGTGGTAGGGGTGCTAGGGGTGGTGGTGGGGGGTGCTAGGGGTGAAGGAGTGGTGGTGGGTGGTAGGGGTAGTAGGGGTGTTAGGGGTGGTAGGGGTGGTAGGGGTGGTAGGGGTGCTAGGGGTGGTGGGGGTGTCTGGGAGCACAGGGCGCAGAAATTCCTTTACTGGGAGCCGCTGTCCAAGGAAGTTATGACTTCTTTCAATTACATAAGCTCACCATTGCTGTTGTTGAGGCCATGCTAAAGGAGCACATTGCCATCTATAGGATGGAGCTGGCCTCGAGGTCCCATTCGTGGTGATTATCCCAGGACCCCGATCGGTAACAACACAAGCGACAGTAATTTCCTGCTTGAATGAGCTTGGAGGTTGTGCGTATGTTCCATTACAGCCATGAGTCAGGGGTGGGAGTTACACTCTCCTATGGCAGGGTCTAACGTATCCATTGTTGACGTCCCCACAGGGTGGTACATATTTTATCGACCCCAGAGGATGGCGATGGGCTAGCCGGTAACACACCGATCCTTTGCGCACCTATCGCTCCTCACTGAGCTCGTGGAGACTCTGCCCCATCGTTATTCTCCGTTCAAGTGGGTGGACTATTTGTGCAATACATTAATTACATAACTCATCCTATGTAAGTATGTTGAACTTCCTATGTGTGTATGTATGTTTAATTTCTTTCGCACCGTATGTAGCCAACCGTGCTCAATAACGAGGACTATTAACCACGGCTGGACATCTTCCTATCACAGTGTCCGTTAACTCTTACCCCGCGGATAAGAGGAGTAAAATCGCAAATAGGATCCACGATATTTGCCCAGCGTATCACCACGGATCAGGGTAGTACTCTTGTAAAGTTCTAATTAACATTATTGCATTGCTGCATCGCAATGTAACACTCCGCAGTCGTTTCGTGTAACTGGCAGCACGTGCGTTACAAAGCGTTACAGACTGTCAAATGGCAATGATGAGAAGACTTAGAGGAGACTTTTGCTGAGAGAACTGCGGATGAAGAACTCTCAAGAAATACAGATTGACTCTGGAAGTGTAATCATAGCAGAAAACAGCAATAGATATGTGAATTACAAATACAATACCACTCGAAACAGATCGAGATAATCGTCATGTGGTAGACATATACTGTATATGGTTATCTAAACAATTTGACTGTGGCGAAGCCCAACCTTTTACTCACATTGTCCAGTGAGTGCATTTGTTGCTGTGGAAGATTTTATCTTACTATTTTTATTTTACCAGGTTAAGACACACTGAGCTATATAGCTGTTTTTCAGAAGCGACCTCGCCAAAAATGATAGCTCAATGAAGTGGTTTATCACGTGGAAATGTATAGCGGGCAAATACTCCAAACGCATGTTTCTAAACATGGAGGATCCGGAGAAAAATCCACGCGACCACGGGTGTAGAAACTTGCAAACTTCAAATATACAGCAGCAGGAGGCATCAGGGTCGGGGTCGAATCCACGACCTCCTGCGTACCAGGCGAGGTAGTTAACATCTTGTCATTATGGCGCCCAAGATGGTACATCACTTGCATTTTTTTTTACAATTGTCCTTTGTAAAGTGGCGATATTGTATTAGGAACTAACTTAACTCAATGACACAATGTGTTGATGTGTCGATGTGAATTCATCCTTACATGGCACAAGATGCCTCTAGTTTATTTTTCTGAGATAGGTTGACTCGTCGTTATCAGAAGCATAACCTTTATGTAGACTGGAGGAATCCGATTGTTGTGATTGTGGCTTCACAAGACTGTGAGGGATGGCACATGGAGGCAGGCCTTCGTGTAGCAGTGTATAGACCAGAGCTGCTGCTGTTAACATCTAACACCATCGAGTGGAAGTTGCTTGCGCGAGTTGTTTTGTGCACCGAGACACGGAGGTGGTTCTTGGTCGCCACCTGGCGGACTGTCGTGGCGTGACTGCTCATCGGCACGCGCCTTGATCCTGTCAGCTGGCTGCATGCACGCCTCAATGCCGTTGGGGCTCGGCTCAGCCTTGCTTCTGGCTCAAGCGAGCCGGCTCAAAGCCATGCTTAAATTGAGCGCGCTCTGAGCATGGTCCCGTGCTCACGGTCGCCACGAGCTGAGCCCCAGGCCACGGCTGAGCCGCCCATCTGACTTTGAAAGCAACTGAGCGTGCTCGATGAAAAGGCGACCCCGAGTGTTGGAGCTGTAATAGCGTTGCCGTTTGTTGCTGGCCGCTTGGCATTCGTGGGCTTTGTTCCTGCGCTCAGCAGCTGTTTAGTAATAATGCAGTGAAGGGAACGGGATACGTGCTCGGGACAGGAGAGAAGCATGACAGCACGGCACCACTCAGAATCTGGGGAAATCGCCGAGTCTAAGGATACTCACGGAAAGCTTTAAATCTAGAATTGATACTCACGGAGGTGTATTTTCGTCAAAGAGCACTGGGTGGCACGGATACCCGCAGAGTAATTCAGCTGCCTGTGACGCATGGACTCTGAGGTGGAAATGTAACTTTTTATCGGCGTTGTCTCACTGGGCCTATCATCATCACCGTCGTAGTTTATTTATGATCGGGAAGCCCCAAGCCTCTCTCAAGTTTCAATGGCACACCGATTGTGAGCACGGAGGGTGGCGAGAGTGCAGGGTGAACGTCGTCTGCCCAATGAGCACCTGGAAGTGAAACCAAAAGAGCGTCAACTGCCAGGAGCGGCGAAACGTGGAGCGCGCGGGGGGGGCAGGCAACGGGTGGCCCAAGCTGCGAGTTGGGGCCCTCGAGACAACCACCGTGACTTTTGTTGTCAACACCGGTGTCAAAGAAGAAGAAGAACAACAACAACAACAAGACGGCTTTAACAAAAATACGAATGCTTTCATTAACGTTCCACGCTTTATTTTAATTAAGTTAGAGCACTAACGTTTGGCTTCTTTGCAAACAAAGTGGCCCTCAGCACACGCGCAGTCGTTCCGTGGGCCAGAGGCCCACGAGGAATCTCGCGGCCCAATGACGGTGCCGCTGCAGCGAGCGCAGACCCGGGCCGTGGTCGCGACCTCGTCTGCGCACATCAAGACGGAGAAACAAAACTGAAAGAGCAGCAGGTTGTTCGAGAGGAAGGCAAGGTTGGCCACGCATGG